TTTGCCAATTGCATACATATTTGCATAAATTTCACATTTTAGATTCAAAAAATTGCATCTCTCGCATATATATGCATGTACACAATATGTCCATATTACATATTTCGACCTATGCATGCATTTATTTTAAGTAATTAACCAATTTAAAGAATAATAAAAGCATTTTAAAAATGTAAATAGCCGTCAGGATTTCGCTGTCTTACAAAAAAAAATATGCATTTGCTTTGATGAGACAATTTCTGTTAAATCTATTTTGCCTCTGGCTGGCCGCTCTTAATATGCGCTTCGCCAGTTTTGTTGGTATTTGACAGTTTCCACGCTGATTCGTTCATGGACCTTCTCTATAAATTTACGTTCTCTGACACAAGATATTGTGCGGTACCGAAACTGTTGCGTGTGTATGTACGTACATGCATGCATGATTCGTGTGAGGTACAAGTGCTTGATTGTATCAAATTGTTCGAATCGATACCAAAATATGTTGCGTGTATACATATGTATATACAGTATATTTTGCTTTGCCGCCTTTATGCTTAAGTGCACATTTAAGATACCTACCCCAAAATGTGCATCAGAGGCATTATTTTAAACATTTATAAGGAAACTGCTCCGATAGATGCATTCAACATACCTGCACATTGGCGATACGTGCCTTAAAAATTGTGCAACTAGTATCAATTATCAAAGAAAGTATTGCGTTTACCTGCACTGACCCTACAATTACCTAATTTTACAGTCTTTTATTTATTTTGCTCATCTCGCGGAACAACGAAAATGGCTATCAATTTATGTAGTTATATAGATAATTAGATACTATTCGGTAAAAATTTCGCTTGCAGTAATTTCTACGTGGTAAGAGCTTCTCCATTATTTGGTTTCATAGGGATTTGGATACCTTCCTCATTGAAGTTGTAAAGAAAATTAGCTTAAGTGCCTTTTTCGGTTAAGTGCATAAGTTTTTCGTGCAAAGAAGGATGTGCAGCTAAGCAAAATATACTGTATGTATGTACATGTATGTATATGGACGAACGAACATTTCCTTACGCTACAAGATTTGTTGCGATGATTCTTGTGAGGTGCAAGTGCTTGTATCAAAAGTAACGAGTAAAGTAACGATACGAAAGATACGGGTGTTGATTGGATTAGTAACGAATACATACGGGTATCCGAAATTTCGTTACTTTTACAGCTCCAATAAATAAGACTTTTTCGAATAGATCGATCCCTGGCCCACTTAACGGAAAAAATGGATCCTATATGCTAATCTAGGCAAAAGGCTATCTACGTACCAAACGCATTTTTTTAGCGTAGCTCGACCACTGCGCCACCTATTGGAAAAATTAAAACTTTGTGCGCTCCTCCTTCTAAACACCTTTCCAAAAAAGCAGCAACCATTCGAATCGGTTATGAAATATGGGAGAAAATTGTTCCCAACTGATTCGTGCTCACAATGAATTTCACAATTATCCGAAATTTTCCAAGCTCCACAACGAACTTTCCACCTTTACATCGTCCAAAATCATCAAATCATGCGATAAAATGCAAAATTTCGTCGAAAAAAATCAAATGTTTCGCGTTCTTCCGGATTTATCCGAGTTTTCCACTTAGAATTGTCTATTTTTCCATTCGAAAGCCATTCCGAAGGAATTGCACAAAAAAATCCATAAAAAAAAAATCACGTAAACTACTACGACTTATGATTTACTCTTAAATCCTGACTTTTCAGATCTTTTACACCAATGTGCCCTGTATTTTTTTAAGAAAAATTATGCTATAGATAGGTAATTCTTTAGGATAAATTTATATGGAGTTTTACTAACTCAAATATTCCATTTACTCTCTTCATGTTGAGTGGTTAACAGATAAAAACTACTAAGTTGTTTTGACGCGTTTACAATACATTAGTTATATTTTGTGTTACGATTTAATGTATCCTATGCATATACTTATACGACTTGCCAATCCAACAACTATTACATGGATTTTTTAACCTTTTTTGTAAACAGAGTTATATCTGCCGAAGGAGATTTCTTTGGAGAGCTATGCCCCACCACCCGTGGTGAACATAAAGCAGCCTGAAGCGTATAACAAGCCAAGTTGGAAATTCACACCTACACCGTCGCCGGTGCCATCAATCAGCTTCCCACTGGCTAAACCCAACAGCGGCGGCGGCGTTGGCTTCCTAAGTTACGGCGCTACACCCCCACCAAAGCAGCAATATTATGAACCCACCAGCTACAGGACAGTGCCGCAATCTACAACTCCAAATGTAACCCAAATCAGTTATAACCCATCGCCGCTATCCTACGAAAAGATCGCTAAATTTGAGAATGTCGCTGAGCAACAGCTAGAAACCAATGACTGGAACTCTCAACCCCGTCGATTGGGCATACAAAGTCAAGGCGCAAATGTGCGGAACGCTTCACCAGCACAGTTTGGTGAGAGGTCTGGTAGCGCCGGCGATCACTTGTCGTCTTCGTCATCGCCCTATCAAACGCACAATGTTCCTAGGAATGACATCTATGAGCGGGCGACAACACCCATTTACACAAAACGCCAGAACATCAATAAGCTGTTGCATGGTCAAAACTACAACAACACGGCTCGCGGCTGGCGGGCAAGCAGCAGTGCCAGTAGTGTCGGAAGCTATCCAAAGGCATGCGGCGGTGCCTACAATACTGGGCTAGGCGCTGGTGGCTATGGAGGGGGCTACCAGCAGAAGCCATTGGCGACTGCAAACGATTTGCCTTACACCGATTTTTAAAATTTGATCAATTAAATCGGAAAACGATCAACCAAAATCAAAGGAAACTACTTATAACTTAAAGAGAAAAAACTATGCAGTGAACCAATAACGCGTAATAGATATACATACAAACATATATGTTTATTTTTTCGATTAATATGCAAAATTATATGTACATAGATTATCACTATTGAGGTTTACTAAAATTTACTAAAGTTTCGATACAACACTACTCAGATACATATGCGTACATACACACATTCATAAACAAATATTTACTAACCTACACTAAACCAAAATGAAACGAATTTCGAGCTTGTTAGTCTATTTTATGTAAGCTTCTTTAATTGCATTCGTGATTTGGTGGATTACGATAGGAATGATTCTTATGTGCAAAGTTCTGTAAGACTGGCTCCTTCAAATGTCGAACAAAATTTTCTTCAACGCAGATAAATAAATAATGACACACACAAGTTGGCACTGAGTTTTTACTGTATTTGGAAAATTGAATACTGCCAATTAGGAAATACTTGTCAGGTTTTATAATATAAAACTGAAGCTGTAATTAAAAGCGGGCGGAAACTTTTAAGAAAATAACTTAGGCTACAAAGGTTCCGCATTTAAAAAGATTTTCAAACGCCCATTTTTCGATTTCCAAAGGTCCTTTATCAAAAAAGTAGAACAAGTTTCTATTCATGAAAACTTTCGTAATCAGAAATACTTACAACATGTCCATGATTAAGTTTAGTATGTAATCAATTTGAGTTCCTTAATTGACTTTCGGCTATCATCGAAAGTAATTGATGTCAATGAAGTCACAGCCATAAAAAGACAGAATTTTGTATGTGCTTATTAACAGCGCACTTACACGATATGTATTTGCATACATAAATGCTACTTTTTTGTATCTACTCGTATGTACCATATATTAGAACGTACCAGAAAAGTAGTATTTACATATGCAAATACATATTTTTATTGAAAATTTTATTTGTACTGTGTGTTTTTCTTGCTTTCTGCGAACTATTATTAAGGTCTTATTAAAAAGCCCGGCCCGAAAGCGTTCCCCATTCTGCCGATTAGATTAAAAAAAGTTAAGGAATTCAGGCGTTCAGGAAAATACAATTACATAAAATACTTATATATAGTATACGGTCGAATTTTCAAGTTCGTTGAAGCTGTAAGGAATTCACACTGCATTATTCCAAAAATTACCAAATAAGGACCTTTTTTTATAATTGCGATACGTAACTGTCTTTGCAATAAAAATATACCGACTGCTACGTCAACCTAACCTAACTTAGGGGTAACGAGCTTGCCGATGCAAATGCGAAAGAAGCAGCACAGTAATCCACAGCATTTGCCTACAATCAATTTCTTCTCAGCTATGCCAATTGTCAAATCCGGCAGGAAGCCTACGACTTATAGCAACAGGAATACACCGACGGGGAGAATTTTAGTAGACGGCAAATTCTAGAAAAAGGGGGGATGGGGAGGTGTAGAATAGGACCCCTTGATTTCAAAAATATCCCCCTCTTTTCTAGCAACCCTATAGTTCTTATATAATTTTTTGTTAAAGTTTTCGTATAAACGATGAATAAGATAGCAAAATAACATCAAACTTGGTGCTGCCAGACTGGAATTTTGGACAATAAAGGCGGATTTTTAATTCGGAATTTTCACTTAGTAGAATTCACCCTTCTGCGTAGGCGGCCTTCGGCCGCGCTTTAGGATTATAACCCTTACCAAAAAGAATTCTCCTTTTGTGGTGCACCAACTGGGGGTGGGGGGAAAGGATAAGGTAACTAGAATTCACTTTCTGTGTGGTTAACCTGGGGCTGTCACCCCAGGGATGTCTATTATGGTTATGATCAGGACTAAGACCCCTATCGATCCCAATGTAAATTTTTGCAATCAGAGAAATTTACGTATTCTGCACGTATTAAGCATTGCCTTCTTTGTATTTATTGTTTTGAACTATATGGCAACACATGTTATGTGTCAGTTTGCAACCATGTGTTATTGTAAATAAGGGTGCAATTGAATGTAATTTACAAGCCAATAAAAGTTGAATTAAAGTGATTTATATACAAGATAAAATAAAATAAAAGTGTGTAAAGTATTAAGTACAGTGCTATGTGCATATATATATAAGAAAGTATGTGACAAATGCACTTTTTGTTAAGGAAATCAAGTAGAACGACTTAAGAAATTTTAACAACAAATAACTTATAAACAATGACATTGTTTATATTTTTTACTTATACAAGTTTTAGAGGATACCTCCGTTAACATCCTGACCAAGTTTCATTTGTTAATTCCACCTAGTTTTCTTAAAGCACAAGGTGCGGCTGACTTCTACAGCCCACCCAAAGTGTGTCATCTATCTCTCGACCATGATTCAATATACAAGGTTGGATAACCTTGCAGTTGTCTCGCTCCCGCATTCTGACTTAGCCTGTGTTGCCGTCTTTTATGATTTATAGAAGATAAATAAATACGCGTACATTTAGCATATGAAAAGTGTGTCATCTATCTCTCGACCATGATTCAATATACAAGGTTGGATAACCTTGCAGTTGTCTCGCTCCCGCATTCTGCCTTAGCCTGTGTTGCCGTCTTTTTTGATTTATAGAAACTACTACTAAAATACTAGGAGAAATATTATCTTCATATAAAAAGTTTAACAGGCAACACTGCCGATATTTTCATCGA